TTTAATGGCAACCTAATTAATAAAACGAATATATTTAAAATTTGAAATTTCCACGCCACAATATTCCCTCCCCGCACCTCATCACGCTGCCACTGAGCGATGGTTGTAGGCCAAAGTTTTGCGATTTAGCGTAGTCTTCCTCCCCCATTGCTCGCTGGCATATTTCTAGTCGCTTTTTGCACAGTTTTTGCTGTCACTCTACAAACACATACTTACATGCATACACAGGCACACACTTCATTTGTGTTGCCGTTATTTTATAGTTCAACTGAACTTAGTCTCTGTTTTTGATTTGCCTGTTGTTGTTTTTGTTGCTATTTTGCCATTTTTTTTTTTGTTTACTATAAAATTTATATAGTCGCTGATGGCATTCACTCTCTGCCTTGTTTATGACTTGACTAAAATATAATGCAACAAGAGGCGTGTGGCAAGAGTCCTTTTCCCATGATTTTCTTGACTTTCCATGGCGTTTGCGGCAAAAAACAAAAACGTGGCATTGCGGAATGGCTAATGAGCCGCTAAAGTGCAGCGCAAATATTTCGCGAGCTCATTATTATTACCGTTATTATTTGTGGCTTCCAGCTAATGTTTGATGATAGTGATTATTGTTGCTACTGTTGGCTTGTGGCATTAAATGTACATACTGGAACCGGAAATAATTTCCATTACGCCCATTTCGCCTATGAACGCCTCCTGCGAGCTTCAGGCAGCGCGCAAAATAGCTGAGGTTGGCATATAACAATATTTGTCTCGGCTGCTTTTTTCTTTTGTGCTTGCCTTTTCAATGCATTTTGAGAAAAATTTAGAAATTCTAGGTTTTGTCTGTCTGCTTCAAGGACTAATAATAAAGGGAGGTTCTTCTAAAATTTTCAAAAAAAAAAAGAACAAGCTTTAAAATATACAGAAATTAGCTGCTCTACCTCCATCTCCACCCCCATCACTCTTGGCCGTCAGTTGTGCCGCCTATATGGGCTCACTTAGGGATCCCCCTGATGCGCCTAATGCATTTTAAGTATTTATTCGCCAGCATTGAGACATTAAACTTTTGAAAAAGTTAATGACGGTTAGTGACGCGGTGCGGGCTCAGCGCGGGCTGTCGCTATTGGTTGTTTCTGGTTTGTTGCAAGTTTAGATTGCGGAAATATGCACGCAATTGTGGCTTTGAGGCTTTAAGTGGAAAGGGTTCATTCCTTTACATGTGTTTGTTCGTGTGCTTGTATGTGGCGCAGCTAAAAACATATTTGGCAAAGGAATAACTGTAAAGCATGGCACAAAACGGAAACTTTCTACCGCTGAGCTGACACCGAACGTGAAATAATAATAATAATAATCGTTAGTGAATTTCCGCAGTTGCGGTGGCATGCGTTGCAAGCACAAACACATAGATGCACACATAGTGTGTATACATATGTATGTTAATTTATTATAACCACTCACACATACATACATGCATTCTCTCATATTTCAAAATATTAACTCAAATACGAAAATTGCTCACTTTGCCGCATGTGGCATTTAGGGTGCTGCAGTTTGGGTGTGGCAAGTACTAGTTAGTTAGTAATGTTGATATTATGCATTTAACGAGTTCCGAATTTCAGCCAAACGATCGACCGCACACCCAACGGCCACCACTGGCTTGCAATAAATACTTGTACTCTTGGTGAAATGTATAAACGACCTAACTCAAGTTTGAATTTTTTGCGTTTCTTATGAATTCGCACCAAAAACTTAAGTCTTTTTATATGTTTTCAGAAGTCTGAGAAAAATTAAAATCAACCAAACAAAAACCACTTCCCACTGAATAAAAAAGTGGGAGTATTTTTCGTGTTTGATCTGAGTCTTTTTTTCTCTTTTTTAGTGCATTTTAATCTTTTTAGTTATGTCCTTTGTGCATTTCCGCAACAACGTTATGCTGTTTGTTATTTTAATTGTAACTGCGGTATAAATTCATCATATATTGCTTGACGGTTTCTTCATGTTTTTATTGTTGTTGTTTGCAGCTAGCTTGATTTGATTGACTTTTGCTGCTGCTAATTTTGTATGTTGTGTGCGTTGCATGATGCACTCGTAGATATTGCGTGTTGAAACAATTGTTTAATTGAGATTTTATAACTACTAGTTGGTGGATTTGTTGTAGTTTTTATTGTTGTATACATTTTAAAGTATTTTATGCATTATAAGTCGATATTTCATTTGCACTAAGAAACTTGCTTGCAAAAATAGAAGAAGACGCCAAGCAAGTGCTTCCATTCCGGTTCCTTTATGTAGACTTGCCACATGCACTCTTGTTGTATACATACATATGTACATATGTGTTGCATATTTATGTAACTCGCAACACCATTTACATATATATACAATATATATATATATATATATATATATATGTGTGTGTATGTGTGTATTCGCTGCATTGTCTTCCAGAAACCGCGTGTCGCTCTGCCTTCTGCTGTAAGTAGGTCACATCGCGGATGACTGCGGCAACAGATATGCGCAAACTAGTTGGTATATAGCCAGCAACGCACAATGGGGTGAAAGTGCTCTAAACACGCGCATTAGAGAGATAATTAAAGTAGCAGGCAGGGAATTTTTCGTTCATTTTTTGGTGTTTTGCGTCTCGATGTTTCGCCAACAGGTCGAGGGATCTACAGATTATTACTCGGAGGGCTTAACATTCCCTGTGGAGAGGTGGCCTCGAAGCCTACAAACGATGCTAACCACTTGGATTTCGTTTTAAAATTATTCTTTACGAATTCTCCATGCCTTCTATGAACAATTCAAATTTCATGTAAATGCTTGCGTTCGTGATCTTAACCCCAATTTGATATCTGAATGGTCGGTTGTAAGAAGGATATATAAAAAAGTCTTTCGATTTTGATGGTTTTCAATGTAATTACTAACTTTCAGATATCTAAATAGAATGTCCAACTAGCGCTCTTCCATAATTTTTGCGGATTTATAACCCAAAATCTAAAAGACGACTAAAAATACGTATAATACTGCATATGCAAATTCAGTATAAGTAGCAAGTGATCAATACTGTATAAATTTGCCTCTGCTTACCAAATTTGGTTGAGATATTTACAAAACTAACGGAGTAGTTCCCGTTTGGGAGACGGATAGACGGTATAAATATTGCTGAGTGGTCTCCTTCTCCTTTATATTAAAATAAAAACAATACAACAGTAGAAGATATTCGGTAAACTTTACTAAAAAATAAAATAATTTCGTATTCGTTTTTAAAAAGTTTTCAAGAAAAAATGTTCTCTTTTATTAAAGAAATTCGCTGAACTGAAGTTTCCATAAAAAAGTTTTCACATGTCTTTGAAATATATGGTATTTTGCATTTAAAATGAGAAAATAACCTCAACCAATGGGAAAGTGTTTAATATTTGTAATTCCTTTTGAATAACAAAATATTTAAGAAATCTTAATTTCGACTATTGGGCGCCAGTCCCAGTAAGGGTAAATATAAAAATTTGTATGGCATTAGCTTTTTTGAACAATTTCCAATCAATTGTGCAAATTTTAAGAAAGTCTCATCATTAAGAGTTTTAATCACTTTTCCCCATCGTGCAACGGCTGTCTATTTGTGCATCTTCTTCTTCTGAGCTGTGCCTTCCCTCTCGCCCTCATCGTTGCTTTAATTGATGCTTTTGATATCTCCCTCTGGCTTTAAAGCGGCAGCTTCTGCTTTTTTTACTATTCCCATATTTATTTTATTTTCTTATCTCTTTTTGTTTTGTATTTAATTTTTTTTTTTTTTTTACGTTTATGTTCGTCTGTTTTCACATTTATATTTTGCATTATCATCAACTATCGTTGCAAGTTTCTTTCATTATTTGATTTTCTCCATTGTCCTTCCTTCTTGTTTTTTTTCTCGATCGATCTGAGTGCGATCTTCACTTTTCACCTCTTCATGATTTCGCTTTCGTCTTTTCGCCTTTCGGGTTAGCCAGTTTTGCATTTCTGCATTTACTTCTTCCTTCATTTTACACATTTTATCACATTTTGCTGCTCACAAAAAAAAAGAAAAAAGAAAAAAAAAACAGTTGTCGAAAGCTATGCAGTTTACGCTTTATAAATATTCACGCATTTGCTTTGGATGTATGTATGTGTGTGTGTGTGTGTTTTATGCGTTTGTGCTGCCCCTTCATGTTTGCTCAACTTTTTTGAGTTTTTTGTTGTTGTTTTGTTTGTACTGTATACGAGCAAATACTGTATGGGTTTGCTTATGCTTTTTCTTTTGTCTCTCCAACGCCTTTGTAGCTTTTGCCCTCCATTTGGTTGCATTCGTTGGTGTTTTTGCTTCAAATTAATATTTCGATTTCTTTATATATTTCTTCTTATATACAAACATATTGTACTTATGTATATACATGTATAGATATAATATTATGTACTTGTAGTGAATGTATGTGAAGTGCAACTAATAAAAATTTGTACTTTATGTTCGAAATGTCCTCGAAAATGTTTTTGATCGCTGTTATTCATTTGAAACGCCGACGGCGATCGATGACTGAGTTACAAAAAGCCCACAGAAACGCGCAGTCGGATACATATATATATATATATATATATATATATATATATATATATAGATACATAAATATTGCAATAGTTTCCCTACGACTACTTTAAATTTAATATTCTTTCGCTCTAAACTTTTTTCTCAGTTCTCAAACCGAGTTCTCAAACCGAGGTTTCTGAAGCTTTCGGGAGCAGGTAAATGATGCGTCGAGGGCCTGCAACTAAAGATTCTCAACAAGGTTTCATTTGAATAAATATTGTTTTCCAACCCATAGAAAAATGGGTTTGAAATTCATGTTGTTCAGTGTGGCTCTCAACTTCCTTCACTTTCAAGGATTTTATGTTCATAACGAGGATTATATGATTTTCAGAGACATTTCATGAACTCGAGGACCATAAAATTCTCAATGGCAGAGAAAATATGTTTTTTTTTTAATTACTTTTGAATGATAAAAGATTTTTAAACTCACCTTTAGTAAATCTCGAAAATATGGACTGCACGCTGACAAGACGACGCGATGCGCTTTGATGCTGCGCCCTTCACACGCCAATGTCACATCGACAAAATCCTCATCGTCGCGCAGATTCTCAAATGCCGATGTTATGCTGCTTTGGTAATTGTTCCAGCGTAAACAGAAATGTTGTGTCTCGTCCATTTTGGTGGCTGGCTGGTGTATGGATGTATGTGTGTGCGTCTGTGTGTGTGTGTGAGTTGCGTTGACGCTATGAAAGCGACGCTTCTGATGATGATTTGGTTGCACTCTTATGGGTATGCTCTTGCTGTTGTTATTGTTTTTGTGACTGATGATGATTTAATATGCTTCTTCTTCTCCAACTGACTGCGCCCGCCGTTTTGCTGTTAGCTATATTATATTCTTGTTTTTGCTCTTTTTCTGAGAAATTGATTTCTTGCTTGTTCTTCTCTATTCTTCCTTAATGGTTTTTGTGTTTGCTTGTACTAACTTTCCTTTGAGTTTGAATTTTTGGGAAAAAGTTTACTTTCTTTTTCTTTTGTATTTTTGTATGTTTGTTTATATTTGCATTATTATAAGTATATATTTTAGATAAATTTAAATAAACTGTAAAGATAGAGAGAGAGAGAGATAATTGCAAACATAATTAGAAAATTGCATATTTCCTTTTATAAATTGTTCATGAGGATTAAGAAAATTTTATTTACGTATGTATTTCAATCAAAAAATTAAATTAGAAAAGTAAGGAAAAATAAACTTTGATAAAATATAATAAAAAATAAAAAATTTTAAATTAAATTAAATTAAGTAAATAAAACAAAATAAATTTAAAAAAATGTAATAAATAAAACGGAATAAAATCAGATGAGAAAATAATAAACTTATGTCCGTGAATGTAGTCTTTGCACATATACATACACACATTGGTAAATACGCATATGGTCATATATGGTCGTATACATACACATCTGCTGGAACGTATGGGTGTTTGTAGATATTTTCGAGTATTCCTTTTTATATTCAAGTTGCTTTAAATAGAATCACAGATATTTTGAAATGCACAAATTGATAAACAAACAATGCATTTAAAGTGTAGAAAATCAAATTAAAATTCACTTTTAATGTGCATAACAAAAACAAGTTTTATTTGCGTTGACCAGCTCAGAGGTTATTGACACTCAAGGTTAGTGAATTTTCGTTTTATTGTTTTTGTATAAAAAAAAAAACGCTTTCTTAACTATATACTTAGACTTATACATATTTAATAGCCATTTCGCTAAACCGTTTTTTATGCAACCAAGAATATTCATATGTAGATGTACGTACATACATATGTAGATATTTACAAATATATTTTTTTTGAAAAAAATTTTGAATTTCTTGAAATATAACATTTTAACTGAATATAGAGAGAAATTAAATAATATATACATATATACATTTTTTTTTGTATTTATGATTTTGTTCGACCTACAATTTTATCAGCTTCATGGGTTTTAAAAACTTTTCAAATCAAAATAATGTTTTTTACCTACATTCCTCAGTGATGACTATTTGCGGTTTTTTGTAGAAATAATATTCAAAAGATTTCTTAGAACTTTGATGACCAGCTTATTTGTGTATGCGTAGGTTTGCAGTGGAATATTTTCCCGAAAAGCCTCAAGACCTTAGATGCCCAGTAAACGAGAATGAAGGCTTCACATTCATGCATTTGTTTATTATTTCAGATAAAATGGAGTAAAGTGTTGTACAGAATTTCTGCATTTCTATTGCTTTTAAAATAATTATTATGATTACTTTAATTTCTATATTCATTATATGTCGAATTAAAGTAAACAAAGCAACAAAAGATTGTACAACAACAACGCACAACAGCTCTCTAAAAGCTTTCCAGCAGCGTTGTTCTCTATTTGCGAAATGAATCAACTATATCTATTTTGTATCTCTACTTCAGAGCAGCTCTACAAGTGAGCGAATAGTTTGTTTCGCTGAGCACACATGGACGTGTCGGTATCTGTGATCATGTGACAGTGTGTGCGCTCGTGTACATGTGTCGGCAAATGCAGCAAATGCTGTACGTTAGCCGATATGAAAACGAATGCGCTAAAATAAAACTTTTCGGAATTTCGCTATAAGCGTCAAAAGCTGATTGTAAAGTATAAATGTAATATATTCTTTCTATCTACATACATATGTATGTGCATATACATATTGAATATACTTCATTGTTGTTTTTTATGCGATTTGTCACTGAGTGGACTGCATGCAAAGGCAATCAGCAAGCAGCTGTTGAAAATTAGAATTGCATAAGCAAAGTGTACTTAATATATATATGTTGAAATTTCTGAGCCGCAATAGTATAATTATTTTGCAATCAACTAAAATCGTTTGAAGCGGACAACATTATTCTCAATGAAATGCTTTTTTTATTATTATTTTTTATTCAGTTTTTTTTTATTCAGTTTGATTTATATATTTTTTCTTATTTATTTTTATTGGTTTAGATAAAATTATCTTTTCTTTTCTTTTTTATTTTAATTTTTTTTAATTTTTTATATTTTATTTGATAAGATTTTATTATTAGAAAATAAAACAAATTTTTTTTCTTATTTTATTTAATTTATTTATCTAATTTTTCGCTTTTATTTTATTTTATATTATTTTATTTTTTTTATTTTATTTTTTTTTATTTTATTTTATTTTAATTAATTTTATTTTATTTTATTTTATTTTATATTATTTTATTTTGTTTTATTTTATTTTATTTTATTTTATTTGAAAAGATTTTATTATTAAAAAATAGAACAAAATATTTTTTTTTCATTTTATTTATTTTAAATTTATTTTATACCCAATTTGTTTTTTTTTATTGTAATTATTTTTTATTTTATGTTTTTTTTTTCTAATTATAATCTTTTTCTTTTTATTTTAATTTATTTAATCTAATTTAATTTTATTTAGTTTTATTTTAATTTTTTTCTACTTCAGTTTATTTTATCATATCTATGCTTTTTATTTATTTTTTATATTCTTAGTTATGTAGAACTCGCCTACCTGTTTGCCGCTGGAGCAGCTCTACTCTTGGTTGCCACGATTGGCATGCCAAAACTAGAGAAATACCAGAAGGGTTAACACTGTGCGGAGAACACTTAATAACCGACCGACCGAAGTTAAATACGACTTTATGTTGTAAATGAGGACGAGTTCTTGTTGTTGTAGCTTTGAAATTTAGATTTTAAAACATTCATAAAATGAAAAAACATATTTTCTGTTTCTTTTATAAAGAACTGCACACTGAAAGTTGCCGCACGGTGAACGATTTATGACGAGATCATATTAGTTTTCATAACTCACTAAGGTAAAATATTGTTGAAGACACTTGTTCTATGGTTTAAATCAAGAAACTACGAATTATAATATTTCAATTTCAATCTTTATTTGCAATTTTAGTGTTTGAATTTTTGAAACCATATTTCATAATTTTTTCACATGCGAGATTTCACTTTTGCTTTCTTTATTGTTAAAAGTTGCTACATTTTATTAATTTTTCATTAGTTTTCTAAGTTTTTTTTTTTTTTTTTAATCTATATTATTTTATTTCTTTAAAGGGATGCGCGTTGATTTGTTCTTACCGAGCGACCGACCGACCGACCGACCGTACCGATTGTGACCAACAAAGTGCGCGCGACAACAAAACTCAACTGTTGCTTGTGCGACTGCTGCTTTTGCTGCTACTTCTGGCCCGACTAGCGACGTTAAAAAAGCGCATTAGGCAATTGCCAAAAAACTATCCAAAAAAAATCCACATACGTACACAGACACACAAGCCGGCGTTGTTGAAACAGCGGGAGTATACGGGAGGAGGTTCTGGGTTTCGAGCACTCCAACGCGTCCCGATCTGCAAACACATACAAGCGCCAGACGCGCCGAGCCGCGCCGTCAGTGGACAAAAAACGCACAACAATGGTATTCGGACGCAGACGCTTACGTCGTCGCCGCCAGGGCGGTGTTGTTGGCGCAGTTGCGTTGATTGTCGCTACCCTACGCTGCCTTGTTCACAAGTTCCTTGCTATGTTTTTAACAACCGAAGCTCTCCCTGATACTAATGCAACTTTTTTTTGTATCTTTCACGGTTAAATTCGTCAAAGTTCTACTTTTTGCTGTTGTTCTTGCTCGCTTAGTCGGTTAGTGTGTTAGAATTCTGCATTGCGCTGTGTGTGTGTGTGTGCGCCGCCGCAAATTTCTGTGTATGTATGCAATTGTGGGCTTGTATTTGTATACGTCTGCGACTCCTCTTACCGGCGGCGCTCAGCTCGGGTACTATTTCGCCTGCATGTGTGAGAATTTTGTCCAAAAAATTTCGCCAAAATGTAAGAAAAAATTAATAAAAAGTTCATAGCAAACATAACGACAGCAACAACAACAAGACGATGTATGCATCTACGTAATAGGTACACTAGTTCCCGCAACTGAGTAGCTGAGAACATTCTTTCTCACAAATTCAAAAAGAGCAAAACGTTTGCTGTGCGGCATTTGCGTTAGCAGCAAAGCGAGAATGAAGCATTTTGCATATGATTGCGAGTAAAAACAAAACTAAAACAATAAAAACATACTAAAATAATATGCAAGTATAATAACAACAACAGCAGCATATTGGCAAATCAAAATCATTAAGGCGTCGTATTAAAAATGAGGACGAAATGAGGGAGGCGCGGATATGGCAGGGCGTCATTAGAGGCAGCAAGGGTTGGAATATTTCCTAACTGGAATATCAATGCATGGCTCGCACGATCGTCCGTCCATCCACACTAAACAGCTGCTGAGTTGACTAAGAAGTCCCATAATATTTATTCATGGGGAAAGAATCTATATAAAAAATATTATTATGTATAATATTATATATTCACACATATATATCTATATAACATATGTATGTAAATACATTCTATCGCGATTATAATATAGCTGAAATATAATTTTTTACAATCGAAAACTAAATGACGGTCGGGAGCATCGAAAAGACTCTTTGCCGAATTCAACTCGAATTTTGGACGTGCATAGAATTCTCGCTACTGCTCAGCAGCGGGTTTGTATAAACCTAACTCAAATAAAAACATTTGAAATTTTTAAAAATATTACTTTATTTTTGCAAAGTTTGAAATATTTTATTATAATTTTTCTTAGAACTGGTGACGGTTTCTTGTTGCATTATTAATACTAAAATGAATTAGAAAAATAATAAAAGTAAATAAAAAGAGGAAACTAAATTATTGAAGCAGTTGCTTGAGACTGTTTTAAAATAATCAACTTTCTTTGCTCTGGCCTTTGGTGCCTGTACTAAGCCCTGCCAGAAACTGTGAAACTGCCTGCTGCCATCGCTGAGTCTATAGCTTTTGTAATCCGTTGTATTCAAACAAAAATGAGAAAAGTCTGCACAAAATCAATAATTAACATGACATTGTCCCTTTCATGGCGAACCCATTTTCGTTGGAAAGTCTGTCTCATTTTCGCTGGGTCATATCACAGGAAACTTTAATATATTCGATGATTCAGCAATTT